ATCAGCAACCCTTATGGATAGACTTTGAATGAAAACTTGGTGAGCAAGGGGTGACTAAAGACCCCCTTTTCTGGTTCAGAGGGCGGTTCAGGAAAAATTAACCATGGTTCAGTGGTTTCCTCATGTGCCCCTATATCATGCAAGAGTCCATTTTGAAAAAGCTTGGCACACCCTTAACGACCTCTCTTGTTAGCAGAACTGGAGAATTGCAGAAGCGGCTAGCCGGCTCCCCCATTTTCCCGAACGATACACGTGTAGATTGCGGGGGCTCTGATCCTCCTGTGGGGCACAAGTTTAGTCCTCTGCTACACTTCCTTTCTAACTGTATGCACAACTTCGAGGAGAGGGACTCCACCAATCAACCCTCCTTAGCAAGGGCCACGCATTCTACCCCTTCAGAAAACCATCGTTTCTGTCCTTCTAGACCAGACAGCTCTGCTCTAAGTAGGCTAGGTTAGCATGGGCAAGATTTGATCCGAGGTTTGACCTATGAAGTGGCTCCTTTTCCCACTGCTCCTCCGACCTCATCTTAACTTAGTTCATGCAAATATGTTTCCATTTTTCCAGGGAGGCCGCATCAATGCTCGAACAAGAAAAGGAACAAATTTTGGACATGCTGAACAGCGTTAGTGTCAATACTGAACTCCTACGACTCGGTCAAGGTACTTCATAGTGATCATTTTGAGCTACATACTTTTCCTTTTTACAGTGATCAAGGGCGAAGAAGCTTTTGAAAAGAATTGTAGGAAATCAAAGTTTCCTCTTCCGCTTTGAGTCGGCCAAGCTCAATTGCTTCAAGTGCTCCTACCGTCAACAATAGACCCTGCTGGAATAGAATAATGAAAGCTAGTTTATCATTGCGCTGCTTTTTCCTGCCTGCCATAACATAAGGTTGAGTCAAAATTTGTTAACAACTTACCGAGGTTATTAGATCCGTAGATTCAACTTGACGAGCAGGTCGCGCTGCCTGGGCCACTGATTCGCTCTCAAGTTCCCTCTCCTCACCCTCTATTGTATTAGCCCTAGAAGGCTAATACTGAAAGGCTTCAGTGGCTAAACTCAAGTGGATACATTCGCTTCAGCACTGGTCGTTTCTGCGTATTTTTGAACACAATGAATGGGTTCGCTAGCGCTCGAATATGTGTCTAATAATTTCCCGGTTATTAACACTTACTTTTCTTCAAGAAAAATGCTATTATCGAAATTGCTAGTCTAACCCCAGCCAACTGGTTGTAACTGCTACCAGTGACAAAAAAATGAAAATGTTCAGGTGACCGTGAAGACATTACTGCAATCACTAATCGTCTCGCCGCCCGACAAAAAACTGTTGATGTGAGTTTTTCGATTTAGTTCTCCATCAACTGCAATTTTCCATCAGGGGTTGATCTTATGAGATAGCTGATTTTTAAGTGTTACTTGCATACGTAGTAGATCACTATAAAAGGGTCAAGGAAACCTGAACCTAAAAACGTGGTTTTTTTTTTCGAAAATTATGGCAGCAGCTTTTAGGTCCGACGCTTACAGTAAATCTTAGAAGATCAGAGCGATAACTGGCAGCGGGTAAAGGTGAATAGAGGTGATATTTAGAAGAGAATTCGTGAATTGAAGGATGATTACGCAGTCCAAGCAGGGTCATAGAATTGGTGGTGCTATAATGTAAAACCAGTGGCGAAAATGTGGAGGAATCCGATAAGTAAACGCAACCGGGCCCGCCCTTTTTGAGCGGTTTTGTTTCACTATAAACAGGATCCTCAGAAAGGGATAATAATGAATCAGTTACGACCCTGTTGGTGAAAGCATGCAATCGCAGCCCAGTCGAGCTGATTCACTTGTGCGCGCTGCAACACAGCTCGCCACATCACCATATGTCGTGGCGGATCGTTTTTGTGGGAAGGCGTGTTTCGAAGTATCTAGGCCAGCGCAAAACGTACATTTTTCGCTACGAGGGCCGCACAACTCGCTCTCTGGCACGCGTCCTAACTGATTCTGTGGATATGCTCCCGATTGCGCTCCTCTTTATACTTCAACTAGTATATGTTATCTGTTGGAATTTCCTTCAAAGTTACATCCTTTGTTTTCTGGCTGGAAATAATAAAGCTTTCAGTGAATTTTTGGGGAGCTTTCCTTGAATTGTGTTCACTTGATACGTTTCTTAAGGGCCCCTGTTTTCAGGTGACTTAACCACCGAAAATGAAAACAAGAAAAAACCACTCGAATTAAAATAATATGATTTTCAACACAAAAAGACGCAGTACGTACAGTTCATATCTACCGTCTGAGGGACGAATGCTACGGACTTGATTGTGATGGCGACCTGCGTTTTGGATAGAGGGTTTACCCCTAGGAGGCCGTCGCGCGAGCGAGGCAAGTCGCGGAACAGTGTTCGCAGCGGTGGGGATTAAGGAATTTCGGTTAAGTTATAGTGTCCACTGACGTCTAATCATCGCACACCAAGCGCCTGCAACATCGTAGACCTGCTCTGCTTCATTGCGGGCGTAGGCATCCTGGGGGTACCCTGGCTATGGTTGCGCGGATCGAAGCCGATTGAACTACTTGGCTGGAATCAGAAACGGCAGGTCCCGAAGGACCGTTTATGCCACAGCAACTTCTACAAAGTAGCTGCAACGTGATTTCTGGTGGCACCGTGGATCAGACTTTGGAAGATATGGAACTGTACCGTAATAGGATTGTGAGAGCTGATAGCGGCTGCGTACAATACCACGTCGTAGTCATGTACGCTGGTAATGAGTTACCAATCTCTCTTTGGAACCGTATCATTTGATATTGTATCTTATTTGTTATTGGCTCAACTGCGGTCAAACTAAGGGCCCTGACACTTGTTTGAATCGCATATTTTTTAGGTTCTGTGAATCACTCACGGTAAGTCAGATGACAGAAAGCGCCTTGATGTCGAGGTGAACATATCTCATTGAAGGAGTTGGTCGAGACCATGTCAAGAAGAATATGCAAAGTGGTAAAAGAGTTAAGTAAGGGTTTGTAGCTTGTATGAACGGTGAAACTCTGACTGATAATGTATTCATCAAGGGCTGCGGAAGATTCATGCTTCGCAAGGAAGTGATTCAGAAATGCCAAGCGAAGAAGTTCATCGTCCCCATTTCGAAGTTACCTCCGCTAGAGCGGTTGTTTCGCAGATAGGTTTTTTAGCTTCTTTTTTCCACGCGTTCGCCAAAGTGCCGAACTGGGCTGGTGGGCTTAAACAATTGAACGTACATCGGGTTTGGGTTTTGTAACCGCGTGGGACAAGCGGTTTTTGCGAGCGCTACCGCGCCAGCCACATTCATGAATTTGTGCATAGTGCGTGGTGAATAGCCCAATTCGTGCTCCAAGCACAACCGTGATCTTCACCTTCATAGGGCAGCTTTCAAGCTTTCCTTCCATTCTTTTTGAAGACAAACAAATGGGGTGTGTTCGAGTTAGTGAGATACTAGCAAACTATTGTCTTACTACCGTATTGTGGCGTCTAGATGCATCATAGCGAATATTTACCGTACAGGCAAAGTGCATGTTTGCACTGCTCACCAGCTGACGCACCTTAAGGCATGATCAGGTGGCAAAGTTTACGGGGATTTTCTAAATATCAGGCTTGCGCGTTTCTTGAAGTTGGCTGCAATCCCGACCAACCATGACGGCCGATTGATAGAGCTCAAAGCGCAAAGGTGAGTTCGTACCATTTAATTGCTTCACCGTTGGTCAGATGGAACTTTGGATGTATAATATCTCACTGTTTTTTTTTTTTATTGTTTTTTGTTTTTTTATGTGACTGCGGGATCATATCTTAGAGATGTTCTTCAGCCGAATTCTAAATCTTTGCACACTTCTTTTATCAAGTATTTTATTCAAATAATTTACTTCAGTAAATTCAGAGAAGAATTTCATGACAACAGTTATTAGACCGTTTTCAGCTGAATGAATGCAGGCTGATCCAGAAGCAGATTTTGTAGAAAATTGCTCACTAATGTCAGTTCGCACGCGACATGAACGAGCTTCCGTCACAGTGGTAGATAAATAGTGATGTTTTTTTTCAATATATATTTGTTTTTATTTGTTTCATTGGAAATCTCCCGCTCACTAAAACTTTGTGGGCGCGCGTTCGCCAAAGTGGTGTATTTCGTCGAATCTAGGAAGTAACTGCAGCGAGCGGCTCCATAAATGACTTTAAGTGCCGTGCCCTGTCGGTAGCGATTGTTGGTGTCCTGCGTCTCGTTTTTCGTCCTATGCTTCTCCCCGATGTTCGTTCCCAGTGATCCTAGGCATCTATCATCGTAATCTTGTCCAGAAAGAGGGGTTAGCTGACGAGGAGCTCGTACGTGTGGCGTGAAGGTGGAGGGCGAGGACAGAATCAATTGAGCCTGCACGGCATGCACTAGTGTAATGTGGGAGCGTATTATAGCCATTTCTGTTTCAGATTGACAATAAATCGCAACAACGGCGCTGCGATCGCCCACTGAATGCCGATCTGCGTCTCTGCTTTCTCCCCACCTGACGGGCTTCCTGTCGAGATCCAAAATAAGGGCTTTCTTTCTGCCTGCGGGAAACGGACGCAATTTCCCTACTCTAGCATGCATTAGGGCAGGGCAATTGTGAAATGGATTGTTTTACTTACTCGAAATTATAGCATAAATTGTCGCCCCGTATCTTTACTGTGCCCTTCTAATGAGCTCAGCAAATAATTTTTCAAAGATGTAGACGTTTTGTGCCAGGGGAATTAAGTCGTGTTAACATAAAGGCGATGAACAGCTGAAGGGAGCGGATTAGTGCGCCGTTGAAACGGCGATTGTGGGTAGAGTTAGGAGGTGATCACAACACCCCCATAGCGCGCTGGGGATTTGCCTACAAATGATGGCCACTGATGTATCGAAGCAATTCACCCTTGAGCTGTCGCGTTCACTGACTTTAAGTCACATGCTTCAACGGCTTTCCAAACACCTACTGACTAGAGTGATCGCTGTAGTTCGCGATAGAATTCAATATCAATAAACTTAGATTATCGCCACTTGGAGGTCCCGGGTCTGCAACGTCCATGTCTCGCAAATTTGTCAGGAATTGTGCAAAATTATGGGCTTCCTTACTGTACATTTTTTAGACATTTCGTATTTTAATTTGTGATTTCACATATTGATTATTTATATCTGAATCTCCTTCAATTCTATTACCATCAGTATTTTGTTTTGACTGATTAGGAAAGTAGTGTGACGATCATTTTTTTCACGCGGGTATGACAGTTTTTTGATCGTCTCGAGTAGGCATGGTGTGTGCACTGAAGGTCTTATGTTCTTTGCGTTGTAACTTCTTTTGTGTAAATAAATATAATAATTCGTATTGTACTGAACGCTTGGCAGCTACTCAGAACTTTGTTTCAACTATTCACCAGGATCGACTGCCGTGCTCTGTTGTGGCGGATCACATTAAAGTAACTCTCGTCACTTGAAGTACAGGATTAATCAGATTCAAACAACTTGGATGAATGACAAACTAGGGTTAAATTGTTAGCGTAGATAAGCTTCGAAAATTTTGGCACTATTTACGACTTACTGCCTCTCGAGAACTGAGCCGGATTTTATCGAAATTGGTTAATTGACTGTGATTTTGGCCAGCAGCTCGCCGTCCGGGGTAATTCAAACCCGTAGAAAATCCATATGACATTTGCTTACCGCTAGAACGACGTGGCGCTCGGTCAGAAGCGCCGCGCTCAAAGGCCCTAGAACATCCTGGATACCAAATTCGCTGGAAGGGTTGTCCTCAGAAGTATTTTGACGCGTGATATGATTATCACATCAGTTTGTTTAAGCAGTGAAATGTATCTGCGCTACGGCGCAACGCGGCAAAACTGGTTGATGAGTAGCGCGGCGCCTAGTGGCGCGGAGTGGCCCTGCGTTTTTTCGCTCTAACGCGGTATTATATTCGTGAATCTACGGCAATTATCACTGAAGGCAGTTTTCCCTGGCAAAAACTAACGTCATGACGATTCGATCAAAATCCGGCTCAGTTTTGAGGAGTGGAAGTAAAGGTAAATAGTGCCAAAGTTTTATTGCCAAAAGAATTCCAGAAAAGTTCTAATAGTACAAATACTGCCAAAGAGCAAAAAAAATATAAAAGATTCTTTTTGAAACAAGTTCCGCGATATTTCGGTGTATACCCTTCTTGACAGGCCTGAAAGCATTGATTATAAACTTGAATAATTACTTTTAGTGTTTCCGCGAATCATCCAGTATGTACTTACATGGATTTCTTGCGCTCAGCCACAGATGAAGCTCCCGCTTAGGGAGGCCGCGCCGTGAGTAGAGAGAATGATGCCCTGACTCTAGTTGCATCAAATAATAAATAGAAATATTGAATATAAAGAAAAGAGGGTCTATTAGTAAGGGGGCTCCTGGTGCGGTGATCCTAAAAATCTACAGTAACTCTGTGCAGGGGGAGTACAAGCCTAGGGGCGTGTGGGGTTAGGGCGTCCACTTGAACATGCGTGGAAGCTGGAAATGATTCGATTTACCTTAGCTCGCCGAGAACTGCATTCATGCTGCCGCCCCTTACTGGAACTATGCCCAAAGGGAAAAAGAAAACTTGAAGAATAAATACGGAAAACTAGAGTTTGCAGGATATCTCACTAGTAAGATGGAATCGATAGAAGATGCTGTATCTTTGGGTGGCGCCTTCACATTCTAACTTTCCATCAGAACGCAGTGATATTTGAAACAGATTTATCTTCATCAAATGATTTGCGGTGCCAGCCGATGTACTATGCAGTGTTTTCATTCGTCAGAGGAGAAGATCGCACCGGACTGAATGGCGCGCCGGAGGAATCGAGGCTATGTTGGATTGGACGTGTGGCATGGTTTGTATTAGCGCCACTTTCTGGCTTTAGTCGTCATTTACAAAGTGCGACTAGTCACTTGCATAAGTAATAGTTAACCTAAGTCAGAATCGGCGAATCTAGAAGTTTTAAACCGGGTGTATTCCACAAGGCAGAGTCATGTGAAGTTTCAACTCACAGATCTTATTGAAAAGCACCGATAATTTGTAGGCAGTGTATATATGCAGTTGCGGTGAGTGATCTCTGCAGACGCTCATGCTGAAGTGATGGCAGTCTTTTCCTGGTAAGCAAGTGCGCTCACGCTGACGTCCGCTTTTGTTACTGTGCGAAAATGCGTTTTCCCGGAGAGGAGAGATGAGGGCAGTTGTGCTGACTCAGGTGTCACAGAGGCTAAGGTATGGTTCAGCCTCTTATTGGCATACTAAACCTATTTGAAAGTCCACCAAGAGCAGCATGTGCGAGGTTGGGGGAACGAAATAGAATAGCTGGGCGCAGCGAGGCTGCATGTCCACTGAAGAAGGAATCAACAGCAACGGCGAAAGTCGAAAGAACTGAGAAATTCTTGGTGAAGGCCCCCCTAAGGTTACGGAACGACATGCAATCTACATTGAAGGAAAAGCCTGACTTGCACTGCCACGCGATAGATTGTGTGTGTTTTGCTTAGCAGGTATTACGCCACACCGATTCACGTAGTTTATGTAGTGCAACCTCAAACTTGGGTAATTAAACTAGTAAACAAGTAAACAACATCAACAATGGTTAGAAAAGGTACTACTAAACCCCCCAAAACAAAGGAAGAAAACCCGAATGCCCAGGAGGTCCTGGGTGGCCTTTTATACCGTCGGGCCGCCGCCGTTCCCGCCAGATCTTGCCGGAGGTCGCTCTGCGGTCGGTCAAAAGTCGTGTCATCCACGACACTCCCGGCCACCCCATTTGCTGCAACCTTCCATTTCCTGCCATTCGCGGAGAGCATCTTGTAGACGTAATTCCATCTGCCTCTTAGCGTCGGGAACTGGGCAAAGGGCTTTGTGGTGCCCGTCATCTTCTGGAATTAAATCTTCAAATGGTGTATTGAAAACTCTGGCACAATAAAAACACTCCTTCTGCTTCTCGCCGCATCGACATTCGCTGCAGACCTCCAAGCAGAAGCGGCATAAATTGTTCGTCGCGACGATCTGGTTCCGTGTGCGCGCATCTCGAACGACAGGGCAAGAATCCGAAAAATGAGCGAATTCTGCTCCACAGAAACTACAGGGGCGATGAGGCTCTATGCCATCCGAGTAGGTAGCCAGTCTGCGATACGGGAATCGTTTGAGCGCATATTCCATCGATTCAATCCAACGGAGTTGATTCTCAAATTCTCTCGCGTAGGAGTTGGACTTGGAAGGCTTGGAACTTGACCGGATTCCACCGCCACTTGATCGAGCAAAATCGTCGTCGTCCTTTGTTTCTTCAATCAGCTTGGCTAGGTACTCATCATCTGTGATTTCCAAATCCTTTCCTGATTGATATGCAAAGTTTTCAGCTTGAACTCCCTCTTGGTCATGCTGACCTGCGTCATTCATACAAGTCTCCAACGACGATAGCCTTGCTTTCAATGACTTGATTTCTTCGGTCTGTTCCTTCAGAAGCTGCTGGAACTTGTTCACGTTCTCGTCGAGTTCACTTGCACGCTGAAAATCATCTTTGGAGCTCTCCTTTTTTAGATCCTTTTCAGCCTTTGCTAGGAGCTCTTCTGACTGCTTGATGACTTCTATGAGTGGACGGAGTTCCATTTCTATTGTCATGTTGATGACTCCTATCTTGTGGGATCCGAAGTCCTTGGCCAACCAGTCTTCATATCGAACCGAGGCCACTTCTCCAGAACTTGCTTGAAGTGCGTAGATCCTTTCGGTGAGTATGAACCTCGTTCCCAATCGCAACAGCACTTCCTTCACTGTGGTCGCCGAGTGTCTGAAGTTGGTTAGAAGGAGGACCCTCTCCCCCACCCCGGCCTTTCTGAAGGGGTCATCGGATTGGATGAACTTGAAATGATTACGAATAGTACGTGATACAGTAATATAGCGTTGTATCGCATTGAAGCACTTCTCCAGTTCGGTCTCGAGCTGCTCAGCGTTCGGATGTGATCTCACGAGTAATCTACTGAGGTATGCAGCATCTCCATCGATGTCGCGTGTAGCCATCCTGAAATACAAGGCGTGTGAAGTCACGTACTTGACTGCACTTGTATTCTGTTTAGACTGTTTAGACAGATCATTGAACTTGAAATACAGTGAGGCGGTTTTTTGCTCATACTTCCTTCTGGGGTTATGATAGCAATCTATGGTGGAGAGCCATACATGGAGAAACCTTGTAGCGCTTGAACCCATGTCTGGGACAATGAGAAACCCGTGAAAAGTGCGCAGGTGGAGCCATTTTGCTTTGCGGAATGTTTGAGCTGTTGCCCTTAATGGTCTTTCCCAATGTCTTAGCTTGCACTTCGACCAGAGGGTGAGCCCGACTACTGGGATTGAACTTGCCCAAACTGCCGCGTTTCGCATGCAGTTGCAATCATTTGAAAAAGAGACTATGGCTTTTTCAACGTCAGGTGTAGTATCTCGAAAACTCTTGTTGTCCATGGACTTGTAATGTGCTTTCTGTTCATCTAAAGGAACTTGAGATGGTGATTTGTATTTTATGGACTGGGCATGCTTGATAATAACTTCACCTTGAAGGGTGTTTGCCATTTTTACTCGGATTCCATGAGGAGTTTTAATGACTGCACTTAATGTTTGTGTCCAACAGGAATGGTAAGTTGCTCTCGAGCTTATACTTCTCAATTCCGGTGGAATTGCTGTAACTGTCGCAACGAAGGGACACAATAAGCTCAGGGCTAGAACGAATAATAAAGTCGAAACATAGCCAACACTCGTTGCTGCAGTTCGGTATTCTTCCGACTTCTGCGAGCGTGGTCGCAAATTGTAGTGGTGGGTAGGCTCCACAACTTGTCGTTCTCTCTGCGAGCTGTCAGTTTCCTCTTGCGTTTCCTTCTGATGTGCAACTTGATCAGCTTCATCGCAGTCTTTAATAGTGCCCTCTAATTCTAATGGGACTAACAAATTTAGTGGCCTTCTTATGCGTTTGTGTGAAGGCAATATAATAACTGCTTCTCTGACAATTCCGTCCCTATTCGTTGGTAGGGCGCTGATTCTTCCCATTCGCCACATGTGCCGAGGTTGAACCTCATCGCATATCAACACAAGGCTCCCGACTGCTGGCACCAATGCTCCAGCTCTTTTCTTTCCTACTTTGGTTTGATGTTTTTCCCTCAGAGCAGTGAGGTATTGAGTGTGCCAGACTTGCCAAAACCTTTCGGTCAACTTGCACGAGCTCTGTAATGCCTGGATTGCTTGTGTCTTTGTGTGAATCACTGGAATGTCGATAGTCGGTGCATACGATGCGTCTTCTATTTCGTTGTCAAGCGATTCGAGGGGAAAATAAACTTGCAGGTCTCTTTGGAGAAAATCGATCGGCCTCAAAATGCTCTCTCGATCAAAGCTGGAGTCGGAGTAGAGAAGTGGTCGAGTGTTAAGCAAAGCCTCTATTTCCGCAATCACTGTCGATAGTTCCTCAAACGAGAGTATGGTCTTTCCTAGCGTTTTATAGAGGGAGTACTTGACTGACTTGATTAACCTTTCATAAAAACCTCCTTGCCAGGGAGCGTATGGGGTTATATGTCGCCAATCAATCTCCTTGTCGCTAATCTCTCGAGCCACTGCAGGATCGTTTTGCGCGGCAGTCGAGCATTCCTTGAGGATCGCTTCACCTAGAAGGAATGTCGGTGAGTTATCGCTGGTGATTGAGGAAGGAACACCTCTACGTGCGAAAAATCTACGAAGCATGTGGAGGAAGGCACTCGTAGACTGGTTAGAAACGATGTCTAGGTGAATTAGACGTGTTACCATGCAGGTAATTATAACGCCATAACATTTTTCTTTCTCCTTCGTTGGAACAACAATTGAAAGGGGTCCGAAGTAATCCATTCCTACATGCTCAAATGGACGTGACTTGACGACCCGTTCCGCCGGAAGACTTGGCTGGTCAGGGTACTTGCATGGCAAGTTATTGAGTTTCTGACAAACTATGCATTTTCTTACCAGCTTTGTAACTTGTGAACGTAGCTGCGGGATCCAGAACTTTTGTCGTATAATAGACATGGTGTGGTTGATCCCTGGGTGGCCACCAAGATGGGCCTCTCGTATGATGAGCTCGGCTAAAAGTGTCTTTTGCAAAACTAGGATGGGGTATTTGGCTGTTTCTTTCATTTCGCTTTTCCCTAAGCGACCGAAACATCGCATAATTCCTTCGCTATCTGTCTGTATGTTCAAATGACAGAGCTTCTGGAGTATTGCTGACTTGATCCAGACTCGTTGATGATGACGGATTAGCCTCCCTCTCAGCGTGGTTGTAGTGAGATTCAAAGATTGCTTGAGTGGAGCCGAAATCTTGACGTTTTCTTGTTTTCTGGCACAAAGCTGCAAAGCTGTGACCCGTACAAAACGTAGAACATAAGCCAAAATTCTCTTGGCTTTTGTGAGCGTTGTTGCCTGTCTGCTTGAGATGAGCTCCTCAGCGTGCTCTTCTGAAATTGGATGACTCGTGGCTGCTGCACCAATCGTGAAAGGCTCGTCCCATTCTTTGTCTAGTTCATGTTCTAGAAAGCACGGGACACTGGTGTTTTTCAACTTGAGCAGTTCTGAAGTAGGTATATGCAGAAAAGGCGGACCATTCCACCAGAAGTGATCCTCCAGGTCATCCTTGTGTAAGCCACGGGTGGCACAGTCAGCAGGGTTCTGACCTGATGGAACGAACATGAAAGAGACTTGAAGTCCTCCTGACTCCAAATATTCGTAAATGTTCTTGATTTCGGTGAGTCGGTGTTTGATTAAAGCTCCTTTCTCTTTTTTCCCTGGATTCCTCAGCCAGCTCAGCACTATTTCTGAGTCGCTGAAGATATAAACTTGTTGAAGTTGTATCACACCTTGAAGTTGGGGAATAAGTGAACTGACTAGTCGCATTGCTAGCGTTAATGCGTTCAATTCCATTTTTGGCACAGTCATGGAAGAACGTATCGAAGGGAGCTTTTCTCGCGCCATCAGCAGATTTGCGGTACGATCCGAGCATATGTATGCACATGTTGCCATACCTTCTAAGCTTGCGTCTGCAAATACTATAAGAACTTGCTCATCTGCTCTCTTCGACATAATTCGAGGAAGGTCTTTGTAGAAACCGTGCATAGACTTAACTATGTCTATCCACTCTTTAACTTTCATCTCTGGTAACTTTTCGTCCCACGTATAGTTGTCCTTCCATAGCGATTGAATGAACACCTTGGCTTTGTGCGTTAACGGAGTTATCCACCCTAATGGGTCGTAGATTGAGGCCACTGAACTTGCCACAGTTCTTTTGGTCACTGGCTCTTTCATTTCGATGGCACACGCTAATTGAAACTTGTCTGCAGAGGAATTCCATCTAATTCCTAGAACCTTTGGATTTCTATCCTTAGACTTGTCTGCAGAGGTTATGTCGTTTAAGAGAGTAGCATCGTTCGAGACGAACTCCCGTAGGTTCATGGACAAGTCACTGAACATCTGCTTAACTTGCTTGTATTTATACCTTGCTTCCTCAAGGGTGTCGGCCGTTAAAAGCAAGTTATCTATATATAAGTTATTCTTGATTTCTTCCACGAGATCCTTGTCGTTCGTATATGTATTCAAATGGTAGTGTGTTGTTGCCGCTAACAAGAATGGTGAAGTGTTGAGTCCGAAGGTGACTCGTGTGAAACGCAGAGTCCTGATATTTTCCAAGGTAGGAGGTCTCTCGTGGTTATGCAACCAAAGACATCTCGTCGCGTCTCGATCACTCTCGTGAAGGCGTACTTGCAAAAATGCTTTTTCGACATCGGATATGATGCCTATTCTACCCATTCGGAAGCGCAAAAGAATTCCGAAAAGAGGTGGAAGAATAACAGGGCCACGATGAAGAACTTCATTCAAAGAAGGGCTTCCTCTATAATGAGCTGAGGCGTCGAAAACGATTCTCAGCTTTGTTGTTAACTTGTTCGGTGTAAGCACTGCTTGATGCGGCATGTAATGCACTACAGATCCAGTCGCATTGGCATTTTTAGGAACGTCTTCCACGATATTAAGCCGTAGTTGTTCCTCGAAGACGTTGTTATACATGCGTAGCAGCTCAGGGTTTCGCTGCAGAGTATTCCACGTGCTGACAAGTCGTCGTATAGCGATAGCTTTGTTGTCGGGAAGAGTAAGGTAGTTATCTTTCCATGGGAGACGCACGTAATAGCCATCTTCCCGATGTTCTATTGTCTCATTAAACTTGTCCCACACTTGTCTGTCGATATTAGCCCTTTCGACTTGCTGAGGTCCACTAAATTCTTGAGTTCCTTCGTTTTCGAGAGTCCAGTAGCGGTCCCACGATTCCTCGTCCGTTGGATCGTTGTCGCTTCCAGAGAGAGTATTGACTTGTGCTTCTAAGGACCAATACTTGTCCCACTTGTCAACCTCTTCGGAAGTCTGTATTTCTAGGACTTGTCGTGAATCTAGATGTCTGCCTGTGATTAGGTTGCCAGTTTTTGTTGGTAGAAGATGAAGTCCTGATGGAAGAGAAACTGGCGTCTGATCTGTTTTCCAGAATTTCCATACTTGATCACAGCCAAGGAGTATCAGCGGCTGTATTTGTTTTCCTTTCCTCCCATATGTAACTGAGAGATTGAGAGATTTGATGAATTGGAGGTCCTCCTCAAGTAGTGGAGGGCAGCGCATTGGTCTTGTAAGAACATCATGTGTCACAAGCTCTAACTCGTGGTATTTTCCTTCAATATCTCGGACTTGGACTTGCACAATGCGGCAAATTTTCTTCTGAATCTTCTCGGAGCCAAATGTATGGAGAAGAAGTACTTTCTGTGATATGGTTGTGAGTTGGAGCTCCTCAGCCAATGTGTTCTCGATAAATGAAATCTCTGCGCCAGTGTCTAACAAGACAGGTACACTGCGGAGGTTGCCTTTCTTGTTATCGACCACTTGAATCTCGCCTATGGGTAGAAATGTAGTTGAATGGATCTCTTTTGTTGACTGGACTTGAAGAATTGCCGTCTCAGACTCTTCAAGCCGTTCCTCTCCGGCTACAACGTTAACCTTTTGAGTCGTTTTGACATCCCTTTTCGTTCTAGTAGGAGTCTTCTTTAAATCCACAACTTGTGCTTGCTGAGGCTTCTCCTGTACTTCACTTGCTGCCGGCAAAGTCTTGAAACAACATGATGAGTGGTGAGGTCCCCCACACCGGAAGCAATTTTTGCGTTTGCATTCCGATGTCTTGTGATGCGGTGAAGCGCACAGTTGACAGAGTCGTTGATCCCGAAGGTATTTTGCCCTTTCTCTCGGAGTCTTATACGTGGTACAAAAGGATGGTTTATGTTCGCCTCTACAGAACATACAGAGATTGTCCCTAGACTTGAAATTTTTCTTCGTCTCCTTTGTAGATGTCGTCTGTGGCATTTGCGAGGATTGGTTGATGTAGAGGTTCATCATTTCTTCCTCTGAAAGGACGTCTTCGATTGCATTGAACAATGTTTCCATTGTGAATGGCGTATTCACTGGGAGCAGGCGTTTTTTCCTGAGCACTCCTCTCTGGATATGTGCTGGAAACTTGCCCAGTATTTTCTTGACCATAACTTGGCTGTCAACATGTTCCCCCTTTTGTTTCAATTGCAACACAGTAACTTGTACTTGTTCGAAGAGGGTGCGTTGGTCCTTTAGGGACAAGCTGCGTAGCTGATAATGGTCAAGCTGATCGACTAGTTTCTGGATCAGTTCTTCAGGGTTGCCGTACCGGGCTTGAAGAAAGCTCACGGCTCTAGAGTAGTTCTCGGGGGTAACATGGAATTTCTTGACGGATTCCCTTGCTTCCCCATCAAGAGCATTCAATAAGTAGTTAAACTTGAATAGCTCTGGTAGGTCTCTTGAGTGGACATTAGTGTTAAACAGCTCCCAAAAGTTGTCGAAGTCCCAAATGTTGCCCGTAAACTTGGGAACTGGAAGCGGCGGGAGTTCGGCTTGCTTGGGTACTTGGTTGAGGACTACGTTGGGGAGCGCTGCGCTCTGAGTTGTCTGCCGTAACCTCAATGTTTCAAGAGACTTCAGCGCCTGTATCCTACCTTGCAGGAGTGCAATGTATTCCAACGCAGATGAGAGACAATCCTCTGCGCGAGTGACATACTGTTCTGTGTCGTTAGGGTCACTTTCTTCACCCGCTCCGTCGAGAGACAAAAAGTCCCCCAACGCCTTTTCCACTTGACTACTGACTGTTTCTACCGTCCCTACTGCTTCTTCTAGGCGGCAAAGGTTGCCCAGGTTAACCTTACTTGAAAGGTCTTCAGTATTTACTTGTAGGGAATCTAGCTTCTCCTCTCTGGAGCGTTGCAAAGCTTGGTCAAGTTTGTTGCAGAAACGCGTTAAGCGGCGCTTAGCAATCGTCACTTGAGCCACCATCCCGACTTGATTGGTGTGGTGATATTGGAGATCACTGATAATCAATGCCTGATCACTGATAAATCGTTCAACCTTATCCTCACTGGATTCCAGGTTCGACTTAAACTTGACTTGTACTTCAAGTTTCCGGCTTGAACTACACTTGTATAAGTGTAAGAAGAACTTCAAATCACCACTTGAAATTCTTACTAGACTGACCTGAGTTCGTTTTCAAGTTGCTCCATACGATGCACCATGACTTGCACTGCCACGCGATTGATTGTGTGTGTTTTGCTTACAGGTACACGACCACACCAATTCAAGTAGTTTATGTAGTGCAACCTCAAACTTGGGTAATTAAACTAGTAAACAAGTAAACAACATCAACAATGGTTAGAAAAGGCACTACTAAACCCCCCAAAACAAAGGAAGAAAACCCGAATGCCCAGGAGGTCCTGGGTGGCCTTTTATACCGTCGGGCCGCCGCCGTTCCCGCCAGATCTTGCCGGAGGTCGCTCTGCGGTCGGTCAAAAGTCGTGTCATCCACGACAGGAACAAATACTAAAAAAAAACCTCCATAAGCGGCGAACAAGGCCGCAGGATTGAAAGTGGTAAACAGAGAGCACTTACTAAAAACTGTGAAGGAAAAAAAATCTCAAAGCACAGTATAAACAACTACATGCGAGCATAAATGAGAAGGAACACATACACTGCTGACGAGAGAAGTCAAGGTGAGAGGCCATCAAGGATCAAGATATTTGTCCAATGATTTTTGAGGAAGGAGTGAATACTAACAGTGATAGCGGGCTTTTTGCTTATTGTGAGTAATAGCAAATTTGCACGCATGGAGAAGAAGTGAAAGCGACATTTGAGTTTCGCTGCGCGACCTGATAAGCTTTTTCCGGCCAAATCTGGTGATTAGAACGTCTAACAGTACAAACGCGTCGATATTAAGACAGTGAGACCGTGAAGGATTTTGTAAAACATCAACAGATCAAATTTATTCCGCCTCCACTGAAGTGAATGGAGTCCGGACTTAAGTTCCTTTCGCTACTGGAGGGGATGCCTCCATAGACATAATCCGACTGCCATGCATCATGAGCTTTTCAGGTGAACTGTTCTGTCCTTTTTCGATCATGTCGATGTATTTGCGTTTGTATGGATTTGGAATACCACTGTTCATATTCAAAGAGGGGCCTCATATAGGGTGAAGGCATGAAGAAGAACAGAATGTTCGTGGTAGACAGGGCTTTGAACAGCCTATAAGTTGCCATTGCAAGGCACGGTCGGCCACTAATTCGTAATGCTGGTCGAAGCAGAGGTCACTAGTAACCAAGAAGCCGAGATCCTTGACCTCTTGGCAACAGGTGTGATTTGACACCGCACCAGATACTGTAGCAGTATCGGGTTATTAGATAAGATTTGCCCAAACAATTTACTTGTCTTCTTTGGACAATGGCAGACCCCATTATTTGCCAAACTGAAAACAGAATCGAGGGCCAGCTTGAATAAGCTTCCCTATCACTGCAAGAACAGACCCTATTGATTTGAGATCATCTGCAAGCGCGCAACAACTGACACCTGCAGATTTAATTATACTGGATAGGTCGTAAGTGTATATATTGAAGATGCAGTGGAGACAGAACTCCACCCTGGACACCGCTGTGACAATGCCGGGGAAAGTTGAGAACACCGAGCCAAGCGCACTACAAACTGCCGATCGGTCAAAAGCCAAGAGATAATCCGGGGGATGGAGCGCGACAGTGCCGTACTTAGAAATAGGTTTAGCATATGTCAGGCCCTTTGCAGGCACTTGCAAAACTCTAGATCGATGACATTAGTACACATTAACCCCTGTCACAGCATTCAGTCCAAATATTAAGTGTCTCCAGCATTGAGTCACTGTTGATTTACCCTTTTGAAAACCATGTTGGCAGGGTGGGACGACGGCATGTTTCTCAAGATGAGACTTCCTTTTCTTCAGAATCCTCTCAAAAAAGCCTGACAAATATGGACGGTAATTATCGGGAGAAGAGGATGGCTGTTTTTTCAATAATGGCGTAACAAAGGAGAGCTTCCATTTGGTTGGGATCTCTGCACACATAAAGCTTAGATTGAACAAATGTTCAAGGGGACTGGCAATAGCATGTGCAGTTTTCTTGATAAACTAATGGAACATGATCGGGCGTATCAGAAGACGGCCAAGCTGTGAGAAGTCGATATATTTCGTCCGCATGAAACCAAACGGAATCATCCATAACAGGAAAAGAAGGGGAGCGAGGGTGGGTTGCATTGGTATCAGACAGAGCAAAGGCTTTGGCAAAACTCTCACGGCTTTCTGCTCATCTGTTCTAGCAATAGCACCATCTACAGATTTGAGAATAGGTTTCCTGGGTCTGCTGTAAAGTCTCGAATTTATTAGACGATAGAACGACCCTTTACCAGTAGAACGGATAAATTTTCTTTCAATAAAGTCATTATACTTGCGCAATCTCTTCACAAAAGTAGCGTCAGTGCTACGGTAAGAGGTCCAGTCATCAGCGGAACCGCTAGCAACGGCGCGCTGCCAGGCCCGCTATACTTTCGATCAAGAAGTGATTGAATATGAAGAGGGAGGCGCGTTTTTTTGCAAAGGAAGTCTCGCTGCTGGAACAAATATTTGGATAGCATGGTGCAGAATGAAAATGAAAAGCTCGTATTTATCACTGACGGTTAGCGCGCTATTAAACGATCCAACCCAGTCAATATTAGATGAGTACGCACAAATGGCATCATAATTCGCGTTCTTGAACATTCGCCTTCATTCAAGGTAGCTTTTACAAGAGGTAAGGTTAAGATGAAAGAAAATAGCGGAGTGATCACTGGTGCCAATGGGTGGGCCAACGACAACACTCTCGACCAGACTGCTATCGTTAGATAGGACAAGATCGACTATGCTGGAAGCATGCGTACGCGTATAAGTTGCAAAAGCCCATGAGATCTGCATAAATCTAAAATGCCTTAGATGTAGGAATGGTTGCAGTGGGATGGGCGTCTGATGCCCACTTAATATCGGGCATATTGAAGTCACGCAAATAATGCAGAGTTGATTACATGAGCTCATATCACTAATTGCTTTGAGAAGTTGGTTTACGTGAGCAGATGAACAGGATTGCGCCCTGTAAACTAACAAAAGTCGAACCTGTTTATTGTAGGCTAGGAAGTCACAGCAAAGGATGTAGTAGGCTTTTGGAACAGATTAACGAAAGACTAGCTCAGGACAAAGAGATTCGTGCATGATGAAGGCAACTCCCCCACCTTTTCTCTTGGGACGATCGCAGCGGAGCATTTCATATTGTGATGACCGATCACTGAAAAGTATGGATAAGTTAACGTTGGAATTAAGCCATGTCTCCACAATAGCAATGATATCATAACGCAATTCTTGAATAGCGAAAAGAAGCGCTTCCCTGTTCTTGATAACCAATCAGATGTTTGTAAAAAGGAGAGATAAACGACGCTGCCTGCGCCCCTCAACCCGGAGATGGCTCCTCAGTTTGAATTGACAGGAGAGGAGGCAGAGACTGGAGGATGATGTGCCGAAGCTTGCACTACGACAGAGGTAGGCTGGGTTGGGACGGCCTGACTGTTGCGACGATCAGCTGGCTCAGGAGAAGTCAAAGGATTCGGAGCAGAAACAGCAGAATCCAAAGAAGGAGAATTAGAAAGTCGTTGCTTAAGTTCAGCGTTTTCTAACCTTAACTTACTGACTTCATCAGACAATTCCTTACATAAGGCAGAAATAGAGTACATTTGTTTACTTTCTTCAAATAACCAGGCAAGGACGGTTCTCAGATGAGAAGGTGTCGACCTGTACGAAAGCAGCAATTCAACCTGACGATCTAAGTCAGGCGAGGAGACAGGAGAGCCAGAAGCATCGACGCAATGACGCTTGAGGCCTTGGCGGATATTCTGAACAGAAGTAGGAACAAGCGGAGTAGTGCTCATTACGCTAAACCTGTGACCGGAAGCAAATAAACCTTGAAAAGTGGCTACAGAATTACCAAAACTTCAGTGATCTGACTACAAGCCACGAGCAGCCAACGCAAAGGGGTGAAGATCAAGAAATCAGAAATATCGACAACGGCGAATCGATCGCCGTCACCGCACACACGGCGAGAAAAAACACAGAAATTGAAGAAAAAAACCTTATGCGGTGGCAAGTTTCTTCTTCATTCACGCACCGTGCCACCCCGGTGCTTGCAGAAGACAATGCAGTCGAGTAAAGCAAATCAGGCAGGGAGCGAATTAGAAAATAGTCAGAAATACTCAGAGTCGAGTAATAACCGACCGCTCGGCGCCCGCACACTGCGTTGAATTGACATAAACAGTTCCACCATGCATAATAGATTGATGCCTCTGAAGTAAGAGTGCGACATCAGAAAGTACAGAAATCAAATCCTGAAACTTGGAACCGTTAGTGAGAGTAGTGAGCGAGTAGAAATAGACTCTCCTTCAAAAACCGAGAAAGTGTCGGGTGCAGACCATGCATCACAATTGACGACGGCCTTCTCAAAATGTTGCTGATTTCTGCAAATGAAATGATTAGCCTGTTGCAGTTGTATTCTATCGATTGTCACGAATTCCAACTATCATTAACCAGGAATCGGCTAGTACTATTAAGAATTCTACCCAGATTCGCTTGGGGGCCGTCGTCAGTTGTGGTGTTTGTTCTGCACCCAGCACTTTCTCGCTTTTTGAAGGGGAGGCTATGTGCCAGGCCTTCAAATATCAAGACTTTGGGTCAAGACCGACATACTAGCGTTTACATTTGTTTCATATTTGATCTTTTCATGAGGCTCATAAATGGGCAAGTATTATAGTACTGCGGTCTACGCTCGAAATTTTATCTAAAAGGTAAGCGCTATATGAGCCTTCAGCTCAATGTGAAGCGTTTTTCCTCCGATCCATGTTGGAATTACGCGTACGGTTGCCGTCATAAGTTTGAAACCTTTTTTGTTGTTGATCTGGCGCAGCCAGTACACAAAGAAATTGTCCTAAATTCACATAACATACAAAATCAAGCTGAAAACGATATGCAACACAGTTTCTCAGAATCGAGAATCGCAAGTGAAATATGCTACTTGTTGTACGAAACCGGTGCGTTAAAACTTGGAAGTTCTCAATTCCACTGCGAATTCAGCACGATAGCTCTCAAATTCACATGATACTAGCAATTTGTTGAGTATTTTGTAAGATTCCAGATTCTTAGCATTGTTTTCTTGAAAATGGATTCATTAGAACATCTTTCAGGGCTCTTAAGTTAAAGCCTACTCTTTGCGAGCAAAATCAAATTGTTTGATAGGATTCTTTACTGAAATGGAGATTATGCACACGCCAGGTTTTCCTTGGGGTGCAGAACTCAGCTAGAGTTCATATGTTGACTTGGTCGCTTCATAACAACATTTTCTTTTTGGGTTCCAGACGACAATAAGAAAGAGGTGTGCATTGGGTCATTTCCGTAATAGGAAAGCCATAATTTCCGGCTAGTTCTGCCTATCGTAGGAGAGCATTGTATTTTCAGATGTACTTGGGTCTAGCCCAGCTCACAATTCACTTGATACTAAGAGGGGATTCGCCGAATGGTCGAACACATGGTCCCCTATGACAATACCTCCACTCTTTCAAACTTATGCCCAATTGGAAATTTGTAGCTAAAATAGACTTCCACCTAACCAGTCATTTCACAGAGGCCACAACATCAATTTCAGAAAGGCAGTCCACTAGTCGGGAACACCAATTTTCACCTGTCGCATTCGATCCACGCTAGCCGTCAATGTGCGGGGGCCAGTTGGCCATGCTCCCCTTCATCTCAGACACGAGCTTCATGTTGAGATATAATCCGTAATAATCGCCAGACCCCAGCCGATGTTCAGCTGCACTTGGACTTCTTTCGACTGGAAAGAAAATTCGAGAAATTTGTTTCTTTTTGGGGATGTCGGAGACGGGGAAACCACCCTTCGAAGTCCTTAAGAGGGTATTCCTCACAAGAATTGACCCTCTCAAGGACTTCGAAGGTGGTTTCTCGCAAAAGTCGCTCCCCCCCCCCTGTGATTTCTGGATTCCGGTAACGCTGGGAGCTCTTGATAATACTGCTTTCGTATTGATGGAACTACTGAGAACAGTTTCGATTTCGTGTTGCAG